GCCAAAAATTTTTATTTATTCATTATTATTATATTTCATTACAACTGCTTTACTAATTTACTAAATTTTTATCCATCCAACTCTTCACACACAAACAAGCTCTTGATGTTTCTGGTAGTAAACGATTTCGATTTTTTGTAATCACATTTCCTGCAATTGAAAATGCTTGCTCTGACACAACACTTGTAGCTTGTATTGTTAGATAATCTCGAGCCATATTATTCAAAACCGGAAATTCATTTGAATGAGCTTGCCACCATAAGAGAGATTCAATTTCTTCATCAATTGGTATTTCAAAATAATGATTTAATTCTGTTTCTGTTTCTAATACTGGAGTAGAAATTTCATTTATAGGTGCTATATTTTGTCAAAGTCGTGTAAAATATTGGCGATTCTTTTTAACAGGGGTAGATAGAACTAAATTTGTAGATGAGTAAGATTGTTCTTTATAGAGTTCAAATATAGATTGAATTTGAGCACAAGCACTTGGTTTTGATTCTTTTGAAAAAATAGAAAGTTTACTTCGGATATCTAAAATTGCTGAGATTGTTGAAGAATTATCCATAATTAACCAATATTTTTAATTTTACTAGATATTAAAGCTGCTACTTCACTTGCTATAAAATTATTATCATTTGCATATTTGTCTAGATGTGTCTGAATTCCTGTAAATACAAGACGAGTGTCACCCATTGTTGGATAAGATGATGCTGATAAATATCTAGTAGCTCTTTCTAAAGATTCAAAAAGTAACAACATATCCTATTGAAAAATAATTCACTAGAATAAAAATCTATAAATATAAAAGAATATTATTTTTTTTAGTTTAATTTACCTTAATTGAATTCCAATCATCATTATTAGGATAAAGATTATTAATAGAAGAGTTGTTAGCTACAAGTAAGATTAAAACTGGTTCAAGTTTTTTAAATCTTTTTAACATATAATATGTTAAGTTTCAACGCGTATCTACATCTAAAATTGGTTTAAGATATTAATTTTTTTTAAACTACAAAATTCACGAAGCAAATTTCAAAGACGTGTAGAATTTTTAATATTATATATTATTTGATATACTTTTGTAATATAATTAATGACTATTTTTAATCCTTTTTTCACTCCTAAATTTAATATATGCGCTGTATAACGATAATGTGAAAAATTCATTGAAAAAAATTTATTATCAAAAGCTAAGAAAATTTCTTTTCCACAAACTATCATTGCAGAATCATTGTTAGTTATAAGTGCAATAATTCTTCTAAAAATATTGAATTCTTCTAAAACACGTATAATTTCTTATATAATATTCACTTTAGAATGTTTAATGGTAAATGAAATTATATTAAGTAAAAAATTACAAAAATTTCAATTAGAATTAACATAATGAATTGTAAATCCTAAAAAAGTTTTCTGATTTATTATAGAAATCCAAATATCAGCTATTAATAAGAATTTTCCTGCAATTTGATGAAGTTTGTTGGTAATATTATTCCTTTGCATAATAAAAGTATTAATTATCAAACCTATTTAAATAAAAGAAAGTTAAATGATATTATAATATAATAAAAAAATTATGGAATTAATCTTACTTTTTGCTTTATATCAATCAGAAATAACATAATGCAGACAAAAAAATTTAATAAAACTTCTAAAGAAGTATTATTAACAATAGTGAAAGGCTGAAAGTCACGTATAAACTATTGAATAAGATATTTGTCATGTTCATTTTATTCTTGTCTATTATAAGAAGTTATAATATTAATTTTAATTTTTTGTATTTTTGTAAATACTTGAAGTTGATGTATTTGAAGATATTTTCATAAAGAAAATACATTTGTTGATATTTAATATTTTTTTTGAACATATTTTACAAACATTATAACTAAATACATCAGCTGGATTCTTATTAAAATACAACCACACACTACTACTTCCTAATAAAATATTTGTCTCTGAATCTGAAGCCTGACTAGTTTCTAAAAATTATTAGCTGATTTATCAGGATTAATTTCGATAAGATTAATTACTCACTTATCTTTATTATTCTCAAGTTGGTTAGAATTGAATTCATCACTACTTAATATCCTTTCAAAAGAAGCTTTTTCTTTTTGTTCTTCCATTTTAATTAAAAGAAGCGTGAGAATTATTTAGATAATTATTATTTTTAAAAAAATTTGACGTTACAAAATTATTATTTTAGCAATTGTTACTACAAAATTACTATTTAAAAATAGCTAATACAAATATTATTATTATAAAAATTAGTACTATAAAATTACTGTTACAAAAATTGCCATTACAAAATTACTATTACAAAATAAATTACTATTATTGATCAAAATTATTATACTATATAATTGCAATTCATAAATTTATTTTTTATTTTATCTTATTTATTTTTATCTTAAAATAATATTATAAATTTAAATAGAACTGACTCAAGAGAGTCAATTCTCTTAGAACTGATTGATTTGCTTTAACTTCTTAGTTCAACTTAAGAGCAGAACTGACATTTAGTTCTAGAACTGACTCTGAATTACTTCATTTTTGAAACATTGCCCATCCTTATATATAGTACATTTCAAAATTTAAATCATTAATTATTTTATAACTGAATTTAATGTTACGTGATATATAAATATTTTATTATTTAAAAATATGCATAATAAAATTAAATCGAAAGGTAAGATTTTTCACATTTTTAATGATGTTATTTCATCTTTTTTTTTGGTTCATTTTGATAAATTATATACTACATAAAAAAAAAAATTTGCTTATATTAATCTTCACTTAATATAATCTTCTTTGATTTTTTTTTTTGTTTTTAAGAATTTCATTTACTAGGTTAATATATAATACTTATGCTAAATTTAATCTATACTAGATTCCTGTAACATAAAAGTTTGTTAAAATTTTTCATCATAAAGAAGTTATATAACTGATTTTTTCTTCAGAATCAGTAGACTTTAAAACAAAAAAATTTATAACAAGTTATTAGTCTAAAGCAAAGACAATGATTTCTTTTAATTTACAATATTATACAAATATCACATAATTTTGTGATATTAATAAAATCTATATAGTTACACAACAAAATTTCACAAAATTAAAAAAAAATCAATTTTTATATAATATATCGCAAAATTTCTATTTTAGAAGTAACGAACATTAAAAATACACAAATTTTATATTTTTATCATGAAAATTCCCATTAAATCAGCCAAGTTCACTTTTATGATTTATCGCATCCTTTTTTTTACATTTGCTATTAAAATTTCCTTTTTTTTCATATAATATAACTTCAGGTTAAGCAAAAAACTCAACAGTAAATATTGAATTCTGAATTAAAGAATATCTAGAAATATTTAGAAATGATACAAAAATTATATTTTGTATTTATTGTAATAAATCAGTAGAATAAAAATTTAAATCTAATATTGATAATCATATAAATAGTAACAAATATCAAGCAAATAAAAAAACTTATGAAGAAAAACAAAAATCTATTCAATAACAAACTTTACAAACTACTTTACATACTGTTAAATCTAAAAAAATAGTTATTAAAGATTTAGTTGAAGCTTTTCTTAGTATTACTACTTTAAAAAATTGACAAACTACTTTCTTTTTTTAAAAAAAATTTAAAAAAAGGAGATGTAATTCCAAAAGTATCTACCTTATGACAAATTTATTTTTCTTCAATTTTTGAAAATACATTACTTTATTAAAACTCTTAAAACCTATTTTTATCATTATAGATGAAAGTCTAAATAGTTGTATATATAGTGTTGTCAATACTATTTTTATTTATCATAATTTTACAAAACTTATTTCAGTTGATTTTTTAAATAGTATTAATAATACAATAATAGGTTAAACTTTATTTTATATTTTAACAAATTACAATATTCTATTTAACAAACCTATTTTATTTCTTTTTGACTCTGCGGCTTATATGAAAAAGTGTTATCAAGATATTCTAAAGTCAGTTATGCCTCAACTTATACATGCACTATATTGTGTACATATTTTAAATTTAATTGGATGTATAATATATAATAATCTTTATAATTTTATTTAATCTTTAAATATTACTTAAAAAAAAAAAATTTTTTCAGTAAAATTTGAAAAGACTTACCTTATTTTAATATCTTAAAAAATATTTTATAAGATATAAAGAATATTTTTATTAATACTTCTATATGAAAATGTCAATATACAATTCATTTATAAGAACATAAAATTGCAATACTATGTAAAATTCTATTATCTAATACAATGTAATAGAATTCTTAGTTTTGCATGATTTTTTATGCTAAAGATTATATTGAATATTGGCTAAGTTTCTTTGAAGCTAAATTGTAAGCTAATAATAAAAATGAAAAAATAGCAAAAATTTATACTATTTTATAAAATAATCAACAAAGAGATGTAATTACTATCTATATTCACTTTATTTCAATTTTTTCAAAAGAATTTATTCATACTCTTGATTTTTTTCAACAAAAAATTTACTTATTTTTTTTTATTGAATCACGATTTCAGTATCTTGATTTTTATTTATAATCAAATCAAGTTTCATTTAATTTTGATCCTATAATCAAAAATATTATTTTGAATTTTCATTTTAATCCATTTAACTTCTACCTAATCTTTTAGGCTACATTTGATGCTGCTTTTAAAAAATTTTCTTTACATATTCCAAATCATTCTGCACAAGAATTATTCAAAGTATGTCAAAATTTTGATCTTACTTATTTTAATTTTTCAGATGTAAAAAGAAAGAATATTAGGAATTATTTGATAATTAATGATTTTGATAATCCTTCTCATGAGTTACTTCATGAATGGTCTATTTATTATAATCAATAATGAGTTATAAATGATACTGAAATTAAAAGTTTTTAGTTAGGAATAGCAAATCAATTACCAATATTATATTAGATTATATTTGGTTACCAATTTCTAGTTACATAGTTGAAAGGAGTTTTTCTATTTATTATTCAATATTAGAAGAGAATTGTCAAAATTTATCATTGGATTCATTAAAGCTTTAAATATAATATATTTTAATTTAAATAATAACTAGTTTTTTTGTTTAATTTTTTTTTATTTACTAATCATTAGTATATAATATCATAATAACCATTTTTATTATATGATTTAATAACACAAATTATCAAAAATTAAACTAATTATGCAATAACGATAAAATATCACAAAAAAATAATCAATAAAAAAAATATAAAATCACAAAATTTTAGTTTATCACAAACAAATTTTATATTATATCACAATAAAAAATCATCATCCTAGTCTAAAGCGAAGCATAGGATTATATATAATGAAAAAATATTCTAGTATCTACTTGCTTATCACTTAAATCGATACTTTGTTTACTAAATAAATATATGTGCTAATTTTTTTTTGTATTAATTCGATAGATAGATAATAATGTTTATTTTTATTTATTTATTTATTTATTTTTATTTTTAAAAATTCTTGTAATGAAACGCATGTATCAAATATATATATTTTATAAAATAATACTTAAATTTTATTGAATTTTGTATAATCAAATATCCTTTTTAAAAAGTAAAATACAGTTTATTTTTCTATTTTTGTTTGAACATTCACGTTATTGTATCTTTAAATACAACTTCATTTCTTCTTTCTTTCTTTCTTGAAGTCATTTACAGTTTTTTATATACTCAAGCCTATTGAAACTGAACTGTTTAAATACATGTCATTTAAAATCTGAGTTTGTAAAAGAGCTACAAATGTTAAAACTGTTGCAAACTTCTTACTTTCAATATTTATTTTGGCTTTTTCAACATCAGCCCTTGGCTTTTGTGCATGGTAATTGCCTAGGTAAGACAAACTGGTATCTGAATTCTGAAACAAGTCATTCTATTTTTGCCTCCTAGCTGTGTTTAATAGGTGCTATCAGAACTACATCCTTATTTTCCTAGTTTTTTATGATAGGTTCATTATATTTCTCAAAATTTATGAATATTGCTATTAGGAACGACAGTAGTTTCTACCCTTCAAATAATATATCTTCTACAATTTTTATAGATCTATTTACCAAATTCACATCAGTTTATAGATTTAAAGTTAGTATAATATAAGCTCCTTTTGCAAAGAATATTTGCGCTTCAAGTTTCTTTAAAATTCTTGAGCTGACACACTTAGCTTCTCTTTCTTCATTATATATTGCATATATTTTTACTACTGATCTATTTAACCTTTGAGCATCTCGTTATTTACCTTATCTACTTTAATCTATTGTATTAATAAAAACACAATATTTTGAAAACTGTCACATTTAATCTCACTTAAATTTTCTTCAAATTGTATTGTGAGGGTAGTCTAATCATTTAACGTTATTAAGCCTAAACACTATGTCATTAGGATAACAAAGCTTATTTGCTAATAAGGAGTTTAAATTGTAAACTATAAAAGAAATAAACACGAATTTATTTAAGTTGAAGGGTCAGATCGTCTTTATTGATGATTTATGTTTTAAGGAAATAGATATTGACAAAGATATAATTTTTTATGTTATTAAGATTATACTTTATTAATTGTATGATTAAAACTTGTTAGTTTTTCAAGGCAACAATACAGGATATTTATATAAAATACAATTATAAGATAGAGATAATAAATATAATAGTGAAAGTAAATATAACTAT